CTTTCAAACCCAAAGATTATCAGTTTCAGTGTAAATATACTCCCTGAATGTGGAGGGGAAAAAAATTAGAATCTTGACTTATAATTAGCTCTGACTCTTCAGAAAACAAAAAATCTTGGTGAAGTCAAAACAATGCACACAGTAAATAATGTTGCAAATATTCTCTTTGGCTTAATATAGACTTGACTGGTACACTAAATTTCCATCTGCTTAACATTTGAAAGTAAGAGACAGTTGCATATTTAAACTCCATAGGCAAGAAGTCAATAAATGATAGGGACTCAAGTTGATAGTATACATTTTTGTTTTAGAGACAGATTTAGCTTACACCACTATAAAGTTTGCATAAGTTTGTACCAATTTTTCATTTTCATATTTTAATATGCTTGGCTCTGCTGGTTTTCTTTCTTTAGCCTTCCTTGAAGAGCATGTAAAGGTCACCTGTTTCTCTTCATCAGCCTGAGAGTCATTTATTATTCATCGAGCTTCCTTAAATGGGGTTGCCAGGCCACAGCTGGGCAACGAGAGCTTTACTTTAGTTCATGTTTGTAGGGATTGCAGTTTGCCTCTGCCGGAGAAACACCAAATCGTTAGGCAGGAGGCAGGCACCACTTAGAACAATCACCTATGCTTGGCGTGAGGTGAGGGTGGAGTGTGTTTCCTTTTAACTGACTGTTCAGTGTGCCTCTCAAACCACCCTTTGTTTTCTGTAAGACTCTCCAGAGAAATCAGGAACAGCCAACATTGTTGAGTCATAGTACATGAGTACTCTGCACCCTTTTTAGGTGAAGTAAAGAAACCTTGGCTCTCTATGACACTAAACTCTGTCCAGAAAAAATTACTGTCATTTTTTTGAGCATGTAATGTCTAAAAACATCTGACTTCCAACTGGGCATATGATGGTGAGTCTGTCCTCTAAGAACATGTATGAGTGTCCCCTGTTAAAAACCCCTTGCTTTGTTCAGAGAGGTTCTGCTTTGGGAAAAGTCCCAGTGTGCGCCTCACTAGCTCCAGGAACACTTTATTTTTTTATTTCCTGGTTGTGCTTACTAGTTTAGTAATCACCAAGAAGCAAACCATTGCATCCCACTATAAACCGAGTGGACAAACCAAGGGCAGAAGCACCTCATTTAAAGGCCTTGTGAGAATAAACTTCCCTTCTCCAAAATAAAGAATACTGCCTGAATGAAACAGAAACAGCAGGGCTGCCAGGAAGAATTTTAGACTACCTGAGTCACTGGGAAGGGACACTCTCCAGCCTGCTGAGCTGCCTGCAGGCTGTGGCAGTGGGCTCCAGGTTTCCCAGCTTTTGTGAGCTGTCACCATGCTGGGGTGGGCCTTGGTGATGCAGCTGTCTCTGAGTCATTTCTGTTCCTATCAGTAACCCCTCACCTATATTTCTGTAAGTAGCCCCAATAAAACACAATGCTTCACCAAACTGGACTTTAGCCTGTCGTGGGTCCTGTATGTGGGGTGGGTAGACATGTGTGTTGTGTCTCCCCAGGAAAAGATGTCACTATAATGTCAAATGGAGGAACCAGTGTTTGCTATGTAGACATGAATACTTTCAAACCAGGACTATGGCTCAGTGGGGAAACGTTGCTTGATGCCAAGCTTGATGACCAGAGTTTGGTGTCTGGGATCCACAAAGTGGAAGCAGAGAGAGAAGTCCAAAAGTTGTCCCATGATCTCTCTATCTTTCTCCCTCTATCTCTTTCTCACACACACACACACACACACACACACACACACACACACACACACTAATTAATTGATGAAGCAAAAAAAGTATCAATGAAGTTGGGGACATTCTTAGTTACAATAAGAAAGAACTTCAACTTCTCCCATAATTGCTAGACTTCATTATCTAATTGACTATTAGCATCTCTTCAAGTATCTAGTATTTTTCAATAATAGTCAAATCTACACGCTTCCTCCTCTTTGTTCCCCAAAGCCTGTTCCTCCCAGTGAAATGACAACCCTATTCTTCTAGTCACTTAAGTTACAAATGGAACCATTCCTGGGTCTTCAATTTCTTTCATGTCCCAAATTGAGAAGGAAGCCCTCCCAGCAGCGCTCAGCATGTGACCGGAATCTAACCAGCTACAGGTACTCCACTAGTTCAGACCACCACCAGACCACTCATCTTGTTTCCTTTCTTTCCGTCCTACAAGAGTTCCTCTCCACACAGAAGTCAGGGCAGATCTTTTTTTTTTTTTTTTTAATGTAAATTGCATTGACTTTCATGTTTTAAAGATCTAGGCAGTATCCTTGTTTATTCTACTCCTGGCTCCTAAGATTTCCCAATAATATACCAAGCTTGCCCCTATCTCTGCACGTGCTTCGCCATTTCCCTGGGAAAGTCTTCTAATGTTCCTGTTGCTTGCTCCTTATTCTCCTCAAGCTTTTGCTTACGTGTTTTCTTCTTAGGAAGGTCTTCTCTGCTCTCCACATGACTTTTTTTCTAATTTATTCCCTTTCCCACAGCACTCTAAGGATTTATATAGGAATGTAGGATGAGCATACATTTTTATCGAGGACAGTCCTAATTTAACATATATCATTCAGATATAACTGTGAATAATTATTGTTCACACACTCTTGTTCGCTGAAGTGGTTTACAACTGGAGAGAATGAAGAGCTCACCAGACTTTCTGAATTCTACATAAACAAAAAGGTCAGCAGATTATCGGGGGATTTACAAATGGCTTTCTCAGATAACCAGAAGATCAGGTGAACTTGCTGAAACATTTTAGCACGTATCATATTGGGAGTTTATAATTTTCTCTTAGATCTTTACCCTGAGTTTCCCAGACGTCCTTGCTGCCTCACTAGAGGCAGAGGGAAAAAGTGAGAGAGGGGAGGTTATAACTAAAAACATTTTTTTAATGTGGTAATGGTCTTCTATCATCTTTAGAAAATGACTTTTAAATGTCCAATTACCAAAGGTATTTAGGAAAAACTTTAAGTTAACCTAAACCATTAATTATTCACATAGCCTCAGAAAACATGATAGCTTGAACTTAGCAGTCATAGATAAGCAGATCCCGGTTCGCTATTTGAACAAGTGCTGTGTTCTCTGTGTGATCTCAGCTTAGTGATACTAAGGGACAAAGCTTGTTTTCAAATCTCAACTCTTTCACTGAGCTCGCTTAGTCATGCTGGTCATTGTTTCCTACTTGGTGGTGTGGTAACCAAAAGTAATTCTCTTTCCTGGAGAAGAAGGTTGGGAAACTAACTATTACTAATAAGTGCAAAAACAGAAAGCAATAGAATACTGATGTTTAGATTGGATAACATTTACTGTTAATAAAAATGAAAACTAGAAGCATTGAGGCATTTGAAATTTCATGAATGAAATCTTGGTTCTTACGTTAAAGCGTGCTCATTAGCATTGGGAATACTCTAATAAACTGATCATTTATGCTGAGGCAAATCCAGAACACAAGAGTCATGAAAATTGGCAATAAAAAGAATGCTTGGAAATTAAAATTATTTCCTTCCTCTATGCATATTTCAGAAGAATTAAATGGCTTATAAAAATGCATGGCCACAAATAAAAGGTCTACACTTCCATATAGCACATAGCTGTCATGTCTTCCAGCTGAAAATCATTCACTAAGACGCCATATATTATCCCTCTATGTTTTCTCATAGTTACTCAATTGATTTGAATTTTTTCAATGGATTGAGAGCAGTGAGAGGGCAGTTACAGCGCAAGCCTGTTGACTTTGGTTTTAGTCCCAGACCCATGTAAGGGTGGCAGGAGAGGACGGACTGAAACTGTCGTCTAACTCCGACGATATGCCACATGTGTGCCCGCCCCTCACACATACACACTGTGCTGCGCACACACAGTAATAATTTTTTTAAAAAGTGAACTGACATATTCCGTGATGAGAGCTACAGAACATGTTACAGTCAGCTACTTACTTAAAAGTCATTCTGTGTATTTTCAGACCGTTCCTGTGAGTATATATTAAGTTACCTGCCATAGTATATGCACTTCTTTTCTCACTTAGCCACACCCTTGCTGACTTGTGCTAACTTGGGAAGCTATTTATAGCACAACATTAGGTAAAATAATATAAATATGCACTAGTGTCATAATAGTTAAAAAAGTACTTGGAAAAAAAGGCAGAGAACATCAAAATGTTAAAATGAGACTTTGGGAGATTCAAGCATGCGTGTTGTTTCTTCTCTTCCTTTGTTTCTTCTTCCCTTTAAGAAATCTTTCTTCATCTAATAATAATTTGAGATATCAGCACTTAGCAGAAAATGGTATCGGAGTGGATGCATTATTTTGTGATGGCTCTTGTATTTCTGACACACTAAGTCCTTATCTGATTTGTAAACCATGTGAGCAGGAACACTCAGTAGAAGATAAAATTTACGGTAGTTTATGTGCTTGGCTACATACTGCAGGTATCAGGGGAGACAAATTCACGTTTATTTGGGGGCCAGAAGTAGCCATTTTAGAGCAGTTACAGCTGCCAGAGCAGCTTCTGACTGTCATGAAAGACTCAGGTTCCTTCTTTCTTTCCAAACATCCTCAGCCTCTGGATTCAGTCTTCATGTTTTCCATATTATGCTCTCTTTCAATCTTGTCACGAGACACTATTTCCGTCTATGTGTCAGAAGAGAAGGAGGGTGAGGAAGAGAACAGGAGCAAAGGGGAGCCTCAGTATTAGAAAAAGAAATGTTTTCTAGCAATTTAGCAGTTTCTACAGCTGTCTCCTTGTGGGGAAACATGAGATAAATTTCTCAGCTAGGCACCTTGCCACCCATCTTCCTCAAAAGAAAAGGGGGGGAGTCAAAATCTGATAAAGGAGAAAAGTACAATAGGAACTCTGACACAATTTACCCATCTTCTCAAGCAAAGAATATAATCCTACTCTCCCTAGGAAAGGCCAAAATGCCAGTAAGTTACTATACGGTGCCCAGACTGCACGTTCCACGAGCCCTCGTGATGTTCCCGGTACTTCCTATTAATTAAATTCATGCTCACTTCAGCAGCACATGCACTAAGGTCGGAACGGCACAGAGATTAGCATGGACCCCGTGCAAGAATGACACAAAAGTTCATGAAGCATTCTGTAATTTTAAACTTTCATGTTCCAATTTTTTAAATCCTTAAATTTATGTGCATATTTTAGGAACATGTCTGTATGTGTACCATGTTTGTGCCTGATACCCATGATGGTCAGAAGAGAGGATCCGATCCCCTGGAACTGGAGTTATAAACCGTTGTTAGCTCCCATGTAGCTGCTGAGACCTGAACCTGGGTCCTCTGATTCAGAGCACTGTTCTTAACTACTGGGCCATCTCTCTAGCCCTCACACCTCCAGCTTCTTTTTTTAATTTTTAAAAGTATGAGTTCCAACGTTCTGGAAACCAATATTTGGAGGATAAACTAGCTTTGGAAGCACATCTAATTATGCTTTGGTTAATGTCAGATTAGTAATCACAATGGAAGCAAAAGCTTGCATACTGAGGCTTGTTCTCTTGGAATGCCCCCTCTTGTAACCCAGATTATCATTTTTATGAGAAAGCCTAAATCAGCCAGGTAGAGAAGCCACAGAAGAAACCAGAGAACAGCAAGTCTTTCTTTTCTCCAGAATGATTAGCTTCTATATTTTGTATTTTTCCACATCATTGTCAGTTATTTTTGCCTGAGACTCTAGCTCCAACCTCATGTTTTAACAGTGAGCAAGGCTAGCCAGGCCCAGCCATTATGCTGGACAGATGAGTACTGGTAGATTGTCCTGATGGAATTCTTGAGCAAACCAAGAAGAAATCAGGCATTGTTTTAAATAATTGTTTTGGGGGTAATTCCTACAAAGCAGTTAACTGAAAAACTATTACTAAAAGTATAAGGAATGTATAAAAAATGTTGGAAGAGAATGGAATTTTAAAAATAGCACAAATAAGTAGAAAGATGGTAGATTTAAACCCAAATATGGTATGTCCAACCTGAGACATGCATGTGTGCCCGAGGAGTAACTCTGAATGCAGCCCAACATAAAATCGCAAATGTACTTTAAACGTTGCTTTTGCAAACTTTTTTTTGATAATCACTAGGTTTGTAGGTGAAGTTGGAACAATTTAAAGTTGGAAATACTACGATCTTCTCTTATTATAACTTATTAAAACTAGAGTTTCGTTTTGCTTCACGTACTGGTCTCTGAATTCTGCCCCAGCCTTCCACCGCAGTCTGAGGGCCTTGACGTGATGCGATCTGAAACAACACTGCTGGGTGATCATTAGTCTGGTTTAGCAGTGTCATGAAACCTGGGAACCACAACCTCTTCTTAACGTCTATTTTTCCAGGATTCCATGTTGGGATTAACTGCGACCTTTTGAATTTTTCCGAAATTCGGATTGTACTAATTTTATATAGTCTTTATTTCCTACTGAACCTATTCAGTCCATGAAGTTCCAATCCACCGGTCCTGCTTATCTTTTCGGGGTTCCCGAAATCCCCAGGAGGGCGGGCGTAGGGTGATGAGGGTGGTGGCCGTAAACCGAGTACACACGCCCGGCGCGGAGTAGGTGCCCTGATGTGTTAAATGAATTAGTCACCACGGGAGACGTGGGCTGTAAAACACGCGCGTACGCATCTCTATTGTCAAAACCCCAGCGCTGGCTTCCCCTAGCGGAGGCTGAGCCGGTGTCCGCGAACAGGCGGCGGCCCGGGCGCAGCCTTCCCGCCCGTCCGGCGGGGGCCCGGGGACCCCGCGAGGAGGCAGCCGCGGCCGCTCGCTCCCCCACCGCGGGATCCGGAGGCGTCGCGTCGGGAGGGCAAACAAACAAAAGGCAACCGCACCGAAACCGGTCGTTCCGTTTCACATCCTCTCTCACAGCGCGTGCCTGGGTGTCCCGCGGAACACCGTGACCCCGCGTCTCTCGGTAGGCAGGTGGAGCCCGGCCGGCGCGCCGCACGCCCCCGTCCCCGCAGGCGCACCGGGGCCCCTTCGGCCCGCGGTCACGCAGGCACCCTCCCGGACCCTCTCCCCGGGAGCTCAGGGGCGCCGCACGCACCCGGCGCGTCCCCGCGGGCCTCGAGCGCGCGTGCGCGCGTCCTCGCGTCCCCCCCCGCGCACGCGCACGGGAGGCGGGTCCGCTTCCCGGCACCCACTGAGCGCCCGGCCCCCTCACCCCACCCCACCCCCCCAAAACTCAAGCTCCGCCCCCAAGACCAGAAGGCCGGGAGGAGGAGAAGGAGGAGGAGACCGGAAGCCACTTAAAGCGGAGCCGGGGCTGCTGACAGGCGAACGAGCCGGAGCCCCGAGCCCAGCGGCGGCGTTCTGCTCTCGGCTCCGCGGAATGGCCCGCGCGCCGCTCGCCGCGCCCGCCGCCCGCCACCCCTAGACCCGGCCCTCGCCCTCGGCTCGAACCGCCGGCGCGCACCCGGCCCGCGGCGCCGCGGCTGTG